GGACCCCCTCCTCCAGCCACACCCCACCTGCTGCAGTCACCACCCAGTGAGTCCGTCCAAGTGGATTAATCCACTGACTAGGTTACACCTTTCATAACCCAATCATTTCACTTCTAAACTTTCTTTTGTTGTCTCACACATGAGCTTTTGGGGACTCCTCATATCTAAACCATAATAATTAGAGGAGGAGAAGTTTATTTGGGCTCATGGTGTCCGAGGTCCAGTCCCTGGTTGGCTGACTCCATGGCTCTGGCCCAAGGGGAGCAGAACAAAATGGCGGCAGGGCCTGGAGGAGGAGAGCAGCTCAGGACAGGGCACCAGGGAGCAGAGACAGGGAGAATCCAGGGACAAGATATAGTCCCCAAAGGATACCCCTAGTGACCTACCTCCTCCAGCCACACCCTACCTGCCCACAGTGAATCAACTCAAGTGGATTAATCCACTGATTAGGCTACACCTCTCATAACCCAACCATTTCACCTCGGATCCTTCCTGTGCTTCCTCACGCATAAGCTTTCTGAAGCCACCTCTTCTCCAACCCCCAAAGGAGCTCCCTCGCCCAGGTCGGGACGGGCTGTCGCTCATGCGGCTGATCACCCCGCCTTTCCGCCCCCCCCCCCCAGGTACAAGCGAGAACCTTTCCTCCTCTTCGTCTCCTTTCTTCATGTGCACACTCCCCTCGTGACCAAGGAGAAGTTTGTGGGGCACAGTAAATTCGGGCTCTACGGGGATAACGTGGAAGAGATGGACTGGATGGTGGGTGAGTAGCGCGCCCCGCGGCGTTCAGCCTCAGATCAAGCAAGTTCTTGGCTCTTAGTGTCGCAGGGCAGGCTCAGACCTCATGGGGGACAGCGTTGGCATTTGCCCAAAGCAAAGCCCCGTGTCTCCAAGTCGTGGCGAGGAAGGAGCACGGTATGGATGGCGGAGGTGATAAATTGGAGGCTGGGGCTGGGGGGGAAATGGGTGCATCCCGTCAGGCGAGGATGGTGACATGCTGGTCGCTGACCCCTGCTATCTACGCGGGACGGATGTTCTGCCGCTCAAAGGGATGTTTGACTTCATAGTTTCTTTCCTCCTCTGAGAGGAGGGTTTGGAAGGGTCAGGAGACACATGTCAATCACTCATCATGGAGGCGGGGGGGGGGGCCCTTGTGCCTCTGCGTAGGAGCCTTTTTGGTTTAATCCACTTTAATCCCGGGGACACTCGACCCCCGAGCCCCGTCCCCAGCCCTGTTTTGCATTTTATTTAGAGACAGGGTCTCCCCGAGCTGCTCAGGGCCTCGCTTTGGCAGAGGCTGGCCTCCTACTCACGATCCTCCTGCCTCAGCCTCCTGAGCCTCTGGGATGACAGGCCTGTGCATGTCCTACCATGTGGCACGTGCCGGCCGTCCCAGGACGGGGACTGGGATTCTGCAGGATGCTCAGTGCAGCCGCTGGCCGGTCCCCTGCTGTCTGAGAGGGGTGCACAGGGCGGGGACAGTCCATGGCCTGCCGTGACGGCCCTCTTTGTGACCCCTCCCAGGTAAGATCCTGGAGGCCCTGGAGGAGGAGCGGCTGAGCAACGGCACCCTGGTGCACTTCACCTCCGACAACGGCGGCCGCCTGGAGGCACTCGACGGGGAGGCCCGGCTGGGCGGCTGGAACGGCGTCTACAAAGGTGACAGCCCGGGGACACCGGCTCTGCCCTGGACACTGCCCGGGCTCTGCAGCTCGGAGGCACCTTCCCGTCAATCACGCTGACCCACGAAAGGAGGCTGCGGCCTCCCGGCCTCTGGGGGGCTTCCAGGGGGTGCAGGGGAAAATGTTAGGGGTGGTGACAACCTTGGGACAGTAAATTCACGGGACCTCACGGGCCACCAACGGCAGAGCTTCCCAGCGTCCGCACTGGGGGCCTCTGGGGCTGGGCGTGCTCTGGGGTGGGCCGTGCTGTGCGCTGCAGGAGCTGGAGCAGCCTCTCTGGGCCCCACACACCAGGAGCCAGGAGCAGCCCCACCCAGGGTGTGAGAGGCACCTGGACA